AGGCAGATCAGCAAGCATAGGTGAAAAGGGGAGTGTGATTCAGCCAAGGCTGGAGATTTATAGATTGAGCAAAGTCTGAAAAATGACATGAGGTCTCGGGGAGACAAACAGCTTGAGCTGAGTGAGTGATCCAGTTCTGAAAAGGAAGTGAGTCACCCTGGCCACTGTGGACTAGTTGGTAGAAGCATTGTCCCAATTCTAAAAGTTTGTTGGTTGCACAGGTGGTTTGTGTGGTTATGATTCTTGGTCAGGCAACCCATCAGTGATTTTCTCTGACATTGATGTTGCCTTCTCTTCTTCCCCTGTCTGTGTCAAAAATGCACGGACCAAATGACCTCGGGAGGTCTAATTGTTCATAGTACTACAGTTTACAATAATCAAGTGTTGGAAGAAACCTAAGTGCCCATGAGTGAATGAATGAATCAAAACACTGGGGTCCATTTACTCCAAGGAATACTCCACAACAGAAAGAAAGAAAGAAAGAAAGAAAGAAAGAAAGAAAGAAAGAAAGAAAGAAGGCACTCCTATGTTTTGTGAAAGCACAGGTGTGTCTGGAGAGGATTGTGTTAAGTGAAATATGCGAGGCCAGGAAAGACAAATGACACATGATCACAACTATAGGTGGAACCTAATCAACAAGCAAACACGCAAGCAAAATACAATCCCAGACAGTGAAATGAAGAAGAAACTGACAGTAACAAGAGTGGAGGTGGGCGTGGATATTGGGGAAAAAGAGAGAGGGTTTTTCAGGAATATGGAAAAGGTACCAGGGACAATACCAGTGGGTGGGAAGTTAGGATGACTGTTGTGTGGGGAGTGGCGGAAGGAAATTGGAACAACTGTTCTTGAACAACAATGACAAATGTAAAAACTAAAAGGCAGTTGAACTGCTTTTCTTTAAAAAGAACTACAAAAGCAAAAGCAAACTTTAAAAGCAGACTGTGAGTCATGTGTTATTGTTTGGAGCTGAAGTGGTTTCCTGAACTGCCACGGGAGGAGAATGGCCAATGACCAGCTGTGGGAGGTGGCAGAAAGGAGCCTCAAACACAGTTCTTTCAGGAGGCTGGGCAGGCGTCCCAGTTTCAGTGTTTCACTGGCTGAGACTGCACAACAGCTAGGAGCTGCGTCTGGGTCTGGTGATTGCAATGCTTCTCTTTGTGGGTCAAAAAGGCAATGTCAAACCCCGATTTCCTAGTAGCAGTGCAGCCAATTTCATGTAAGCAGATGTTGACCTCTGGAAGGAAACCTTTCGGAGACCCTGTTGGAAGGCTGAAGAAAAGGCCTGTGAAAGGTGAGGTGTAAGGGCAGGTGTGCTGGGGGAAAGGCTTTGGAGTGTTCAGCGCTTAGGTGAACTTAAAAATGGTTGCAGGGGCAGGCTCAGTGGACCCAAACCAAGGATGAGTGTAGAGTGTAGTGTGCATTGCCTCCAAGCTTGTAGAACATTTGTGGTTTGGGGCAGGGTGCTGAAGCCTAAAAATCTTGGGCTGTGAGAAACCAGATCACTGTGCAAAAGGCAGAGAGTGAAGAGGTGGGTGTTGAGGGTGAAAGAAGAGTTTGGGATGTGCACTGCCCAGGAGAATATAGGCAGATAAGGTGGGTGTGAGAGAAACGGCAAAGTGTTCTTGACTGTGAGGTGACGCAGACATGGACCCCCAGTGCCTGTGGCATCATTGATGAGCCACGAGGTAAATTCACACAGACTACTGAGTCCTGTGGAGGAAGAGGAATGGCATGGCTAGTCCCTTGGGTGGGGAGAGCCTTGGAGCGGCCTGGCAGGCTTAGCTCTTTCCAGGGAGATAAGCTTTGTTCTTATAGTGGCTTATGGTCTTAAGGGAACTCACTGAGTCATAGCCATGGGAGGTTACAGCTGCTGAAATCAGGCAGGGTGGTTCCCAAAAGTGGAGAGCCCAGAGGAACCTGGGAAGGGTGGGTGGGTAAGTACTGGTTAAATAAGGGGGGAAAGATGAAGAGAGGGCAAGTCACGCAGGTGAATTTCAGTGTTAGGAGTCACTTTTCAGGGGTTGACATTGCTTGTGCACACTTTTCTTTGCTCAGACCAGAAGTGGGGTTAGTGGAGTCTTACCCTGTTAGACATGAAGGTCTGAAAGGTCCCTTTGGGATGGTAGTGGGGCTTGTGAGCTCCACAGTGTTCCCCAGCCAAGGTCTGTGCTTACACGTCTGCTGGTAGTTTCTCGAACATAGTGCTTCATGTTCCCCCCTTCTTGATGCTCACCTGTTCCTTGAGACTTACTTTCCCAAGAAGCTGCTCAGGGCCCTGGGTGTATCTGCCTTCCCGGAGGCAGCCCTTTCATGTCCACTTGTCCATCTTGCTCTTGTCTTTCTGCAAGTCTGGAAATCCCCTTTGCCAGGCCAGGGATCTTGACTCATGGCCACCTGCTTTTCTCTGCATTCTGGAGCTTTTGGATTTTTTATTTTTACATTTTTTTCTATTTTTGAAAAGTATAGTTGTGTTCATTTCCTCTCCAACATCCTCTCCCCCTTCTCATTCCACCCATCTCGAGCCCCCTCCCCTTGATCCTACCCACCTTTGGCTTCATTCACGTGTACCTTACACATTTCCTAAAAACAATTTAACCTTTTCCTCTTATTATCCATTCCCACCTTCCTACTAAATACTGTCAGTCTCTCTTAAATTTAATGTTTCTGGACCTCTTATGATGCAGGAGGATTTTATTGCCTCCTGAGGACTGTATTCTGGAAGCTGACTTTGAAAATTCTCTTTCTCCTATATCCTCTGAAGACTCACAATTCAGACCACTCCTGTCTAATGGAGGTGTGCTTCCCAACCCTGGGAGATAACTCAAGATCAGGAACCCTTCCCTTCTCAGATCACAGGATGGGATTCACCCCAAATAGAAAGAACGTTACAAAAGAGCAGCCAGGACATCACATTCTTTTAGCACCATTTTTTTTTTTTATGGGCTTCAAGGTGCCTTTCATGCCAAGGAGGTGGAGGTGGTATAAATGTGGAAGGTAGGTTGAACTGTAAATTCCATGGTCCGTGGTAGATGAAGGGGGAGTGCAGGAATAAGTCAGTGAAGCTGATAAAAAGGGGACTGTGAGCCCTCCAAAAGACCATTATTGTCACATAGCAAATCTATATGTGATGAGGAAGCCACACTCTCCTATTTGAACTCCCCACAGGGAGATGTCACATAAAAATACTATGTGGGTTTGTCTTGTAAGCAATCACAAGATTGTGTAAACAAAAGCTGGCTTCATAGGCAGAGAATAAACCACACACACTCGTGCCAGGTGGGACCGCAGATTCCGTTTTCTAAGGTAATAGTTGATGTTCCTTTTTAAAGCCTTCACATCGACCTGCTTGTACACAGCTGCAGCTGTCTTGTCAAGGACAAAACCCAGCATCTCACTGATTACAAATTTACACAGTAGCTCCAAGACAAAAGGTGCTCAGTGCATTTCATACGCCTGTAATTTATGTCTTCTGATATCCCAGAATTTCTCCGCATAAAGTTGAGTGAAGGCCTGCACTTTGTTCTCCATGCCCGGGTCCGTTTTAAACTAACTCAGCAGATCCCAAAAACTAATGTAACACTTGCTTCCTCTGCTCTTGGTGGAAGCAATGACTGTTCTAGGAGAGTTGGCCATTTTATAGGGGAATCCTGGGCAAGCTCCTCCTTGGCTAGAAGTCTTGACCAATGAATGTGTGTGCCAGGTCAGCAAGGAACAGTTGTTGTCTTGAGTCTGTTTCCTCTGACAAAAACTCTGAAGAACCTGTAATCTCTGTTTTCTAAGCTGGTACTCGAAGAACATGCTACTTTTAATGGAAGCAAGGGGGAGCCTTGTCGAATTCTTCTCAGTGGACTCTTGATATTTGCACAAAATTATGTTATCAAAGTTAGTATTCAGCTTGAGTACAGGGAAAACTGTCTTTCTTGAAATTTCTCGCCAGCAACCCTGCACCCCCTTTCACTGCTTTTCTCATCTTCCTCAGTGTGTCTCTTCATCAATCTCTTAGAAATAACCAAATGTAGAACATTCTCTAAACTTCTCCTCAATTTTTAGAAAGGTTAACAGTCCATTTTCTTCTGCGGTGTTTAAAAAAATGTTCAATAACGCTATTACCTAATACATTCTGTGTTTTTTTTTTTTTTTTTACTTTTTGTTAATTGAAGGTTTGGGCTGTATAGAGCAGTCAGTCAAGTACCTCTTGGAATCAAAATCTGAAAGTCATGGGAGAAATAGACAAAACTGTACTTGAAAAATAACTAAATAAAATTAATTAAAAAACAAACAAACAAAAAAACCCTGAAAGTCCGTTACCCCTTCTTTTTCTCAAAATGTTAAAAAACAGTAATCGTAAAAAGTATATGGTGTATTTTTTTTTATCATAATTGAAACTTTTTGCTCTTCAGAAGAGTGTCTTTTCTTCTTTTTTTTTGTAATGGCAGAATAATACTTTGAATACAAGTATAAAATGTATAACAAGGTAAGTAGAAATCCAGGGTAAGAAGATGATATTAAGAATTTAAACAATTTTCAAAGTCATATTTTTGCTTCTTGAAATTAACTTGTACTTGTATACCTGATTTTTGTTAATGAAATTTTCAGTGCAGTTAAGTCCTCAGTAATTTTTGCTGTACCCCTAGCAACACTCTTAAAGCCTATCCTGTTAGATTTTAAAGCTTCCTAGTTACTCGAATGGCTTTGCTTAATCATTCTTTGATTAGGTGTGGTTATTTTCAATAAGATATGTATGAATATTATATGCGTGTGTTCTGAGCTTACATAAACTCATGCTAACTTTTTATAATTACAGCTGAGAAACAAGCACTTTCACTGCACTATAATATTCCCTTCAGAAAATCTAGCACAATCGTTTCATGCAAGAAGTATGACATCCTCTTATTTACTTATAATGGAAGTTTCCTTCTGTTCTTTTATATATTTCTGAGAAAAATGTGATGTTCTTCAAAAGGAGGGTTAGATACTAAATACTTTTCTTTGTTCCATAGTACTAAAATTTGATTGAATGGACCAACTTGCAAGAGCTGCTGATTTTGAAAATGAGATTGAGACTTCACTGGATAAAGTCAACCATTGTTAAGACAAGTAGAACATTGTACAACACAATAAACTTCACATTAGGAATTTCTTCAAAGATACACCCATATTCAAGTCAAGTCTTAACTATAGTTTAGATATATGAAATTTAGCACTGAGTAGTGAAGAAACAGGTAGTGACCAAAAAGAGGAAATATGTAAAATAGAAAGATAGCCTCTTTTTAAATAATAAGTGAGAAAATTGTTTTTAGCACGATAAATATTTGAACTTGGAGAGAAACAGAAAGAAATATTGGCAAAATAAAATAAAAATGAAACAAATCAAAACGATACCACAGTGCTATTACTACCACCAACAATAACAGAAAAGAAAAGTCTCTTATCTTTCAAGTTTTAAGACAGTGTTAATAATCCATTTTCCCTTCCATTATTCAAAACTACTAGAACCTGATCCTGAAGACCAAGAAGGAAGCAAAACACAAGCAGAGACATTGAGATTAAGAAAAAAGCAAAAGAACCTGGAGGAGAGATGGGAGAAGATTCCTCAGATAGGTTATGGGGAAGGGTTTTGAGGACCATCTATCTAGGACACATGGAGAAAATAGAGGGAGGGGAAGTTAAGAAGTGGAGATGATGGGGGTGGGGGTGCGTGGTGGGATGAACATGGAGACCCGTTGACCTGTGCAATAAGATATTTAGAACAACATCACCAATTTCTATCACTAAATACATACGCATTGTTTTTTTAAGTAAAGTGAAATTCATTCCTCTTTAGAAAAGTCCATTTTCTTTTCAAGTTTTAAAACAAAGTTAACTGTCTGTGTGTTTTTCAATTAAAAAAAAACTATTAAACATTTGTATTACTAAAATTATGCTGGGTGTATTTAACTTATTTGAAATTCAGGACTCTTTATAACAAACAGTCCACTTTTTCCTTAGTTTTTCAAAGACTGTTATCTGTCCATTTTCCCCTCAATGGAAAAAGAAATGTTCAAAGGGATATTGTTCAAAAGACACCACATATGGTGTCTTATTACCTTCACGAATATTTTTTTCTTTAGAACTGTCCATTCTGTCTTCAACCCTAAAACAATGTTAACAGTTCATTTTCAGTTCCAGTAGTCAAAATAAGTGGAACGGAGTCAAGAGAAGCAGGAAGCAAAAGTATGAGCAGAGACACTGAATGTAAGAACCCACTGAGAGTAGGCAGAGGGGAGGTGGGAGGAGATGAAGGGTGGGGAGGAAGAAGGGTGTTTGAGGAACAGGTTTGAAGGACAGGAGGGCCAAACTAAAGAAAGGTAGGTTAATGCTGGGAAGTGGGCTTCATGGGGGTGGTGGGAGTAGTTGTGGGGGGGGAGTGGAGACAGGTGTACTTGAACAACAATAAACAATTTGAAGACAATGTTTGAAAATTCTATGCTAAACACATGTGGTTTATTGTTCAGTTAATGGAGATGTTTTGTTGTTCAGAAGAGTCCATTTTCCCTTCAAGTTTTAGAATCGTGTTAGAAAGCTCCATTACTCAAAATGTATAGTTTCTTTTGGAAGTCATTGAAATTCTTTGCTCTTAGGCCCTTTAGTCTCTGAGGTCACCTAACAAGTAAGCAATGAAAATTTTTTAGGTTAGTAAAAGAAGGACTGAACATCATTACTCTTCAAAACAGAATCTGCCATTGGCCAAAACACGCACAAGGTTTAAAGACACACAATTTTTGTGCTTAAAACTCTAGTTCCCGAGAAGGTTGTTCAGTTGCTCTGAATGGGATGAAGTGAGGTGACAGGGGCCAAAACAACAGCACATCTGTCAGGGTGACCAGTTCCCAGTGTGTCCCCCTGTGGGCTGTGTTTTGTGTCCCCCATCCCGAGCAGAGTCTCCTCCCACCACCACCCTGTGTGCTCTCTACCCTTGCCTGCCTCGCCCACCCGCCTGTCCTTCCACAGTCAGCGCACTGCTGTCTCGAGTCCCAGCTTCTCTCTCTAAGTCCTTCCGTTATCACTAGAATCCTCCAGCCCATCAAGGAAAGACCTCAGCTCCTCCTTCCCTTTGTCATTTTATTCTCTTGAAGAACTTGAGGGAAGTGCTCAGAGCTCTGCCATCCCCCCAAAACAGAACCCAAGCTCAAGTAGCAAGCAGGGTGTGAGTAAAGTGTAACTCTTGGGAGCCAAAGAGGTCTCCTGAAAAGCCACGTGGAAACGATGGCCAATGAGAAGCAGGAGGATGTGGTGGCAAGGCTTATATATCAGTGTCTGGAGCTGGGGTGGGGTTCTCAGTTTCAGTTCTTCAGTTGCTGAGACTTCACAGTTACTCAAAGCTGGGTCTGGGTGTGGTGATTGCAGTGCCACTCTTGCCTCAGAAAGGCCATTAAACCTCAGAGCTTCAAGCCTCATTGCAGCCAATTTTTCATGGAAGCAGATGTTGACAGCTGGGAGGAATCCTTCTGGGACCCTGAAGGAAGGCTGAGGAAAATGCCCTTTCAAGGTGAGGGGTCTTTGGGGAGGGGTCGATGTGTAAAGGGCCTTAGTGTGTTCAGTGCCAGGAGTAACCCCCAAATGGAGAGAGAGGAAGGTGCCCTGGGGGGAAAAGGAGGAAGAGTGTGGAGTGCAGTGTGAAGAGCCTGGACCTTGGTAGAAATTTTTACAGCAGGGTGCCCAAGCCCACAGGTCCTGGGGGGTGAGGAACCTCATCCATCTGGAAGAGGCAGAGAGTAAAGTTGTGTGTTTTGAGGGACAGAAAAGAGTTTGGGCAGAGTGCAGCCCAGGAAAATCTAGACAGATGAGGAGAGTGTGAGAGGAGGGGCAGAGGGTCCTTGGCTGTGGTGGAGCCAGGGGAACCTGAAAAGGACGGGAGGGGAAGGCTGTCTGAAGTGAGGGGCAAAGAGACGAGGAAGAGAGGGGCCAGCGGCGCAGAAGAATCCCGCGGAGGTGAATCTGAAGGGTAGGAATAAGGAACGTTGCGGGGGGTTGACACTGCTTGTCCACACGTTTCTTTCCTTCACAAAGGGGCCTCAGCGGAGTCCCCCTCTTTGGAAACGGTAGGTCTGAAAGGTCCATTCAGGAGGGCAGAGGGGTTTGTCAAGTCCACAAGTTCCCCTGCCAAGGGCTGTCCTAAGAGTTGTAGGGGAAGGGGCGGTGGAGAAACTCAGAGCCTCATGCTCCCCCTTTCCTGACCTTACCTTGTTCCTTGATTTTTTCTGCCCCAAGAGCCTGCTCGTGGCCCCGTGGGTGTCTCCTGCTTCCCCATGGGGGCCATTTAGGGCCGGCCCCTCCATCTCGTGGTCCCGGTCCTGTCAGTGTGGAAATCCCCTTCACAGGCACCAGGGTGTGCACTCCTGGCCACACCCTCTGCTCTCCACACTGAAGCAGGAGGCTTCTAAAGCCTCTTGAGGACTAGACTCTAGACCGTAATGTTTGAAACTTCTCTAGTTTAAAAATACTGAGAAGGGTTTCGGTGCATAATCCTCCTGCCCCACAGAGAAGCCCTCCCAGCACCCGCACCCATCCCCTGCTCAGAACCCAGGCCTGGGACTCACCCCACTAATGGGAAGTGAGTCACCAAGAACAGCAAGGACACCACAGGCTTTTTGCACCGTTCTTTTATTTCCTTGGCTTCAAGGTGCCTCTCATGCCAGGGAGGTGGAGGTGGTGTGGTAAAGGAAGCCTCGTTCAGTAGCAAAATTTTGTGCTTCCTGGCAATTGAAGGTGCCTGGCAGGAACAGGTTGGGAAAGCCATGAAAGGGAGACTGTGAGCCCCCCTGAAGACCATTATTGTAACATAGCACATTTGTATGTGATGAGGAAGCAACAATCTACTGTCTAATTCCTCATGGGGAGTCATTGAATAAAAATGTTGTGCTCCTTTGTCTTGTAAGTAGTCACAAGATTGTGTAAAAACACGGGCAGAGATTAAACCACAAAAACTGGTGCCGGGTTGGACTGCCGAATCCATTTTCTAAAATAATACTTGATGTTCCGTTTTAAAGCTTTCACATCGACCAGCTTGGACACAGCTGCAGCTATCTTGTTGAGGACAAAAAGCACTAACTCAGTGATTAGACGTGGACCCAGTGGGTCCAAGACACGAACGGCTCGGTGCATTCCATTCTCCTGTAATTTATGTCTTACAATATCCCAGATCTCCTTTGCATAAGGTTGAACGAAGGCTCGCACTTCGTTCTTCATGCCTGGGTCCATTTTAAACTAACTCAGCAGGTTCCAATAAACAATGTAACACTTGCTTCCCTCAGCTCTTGGTGGAAGCAATGCCCTCCCTGTAGGAGGAAGTCAGCCTTTAATAGTGGAGAGGGGAGCTGTGGATGCACTTATGCTTCACCAGAAGTGTTGAGGAAGTGTGTGTGCCACGTCCCACAGAAAGGGAGGTTTTCTAAACCTAGCTGCACTGGCACGTGGTTCTTTTCACAAAAACATAGGATTCTTTTCACAAAACATAGAATTTGAGCAATGTGTGTGTTCCACGTCACCCAGGGAGAGCTGTTTTCTAAAACTGCTTCAGGAACAGAGGTTTCTAAACATTGTTTATTTGTTTTCTTTGCAGAGGTCATAGGATTTGGCTTCTAAGCTTGTACGGACATCGAAACTTCCTCACTGCAATGAAAAAAAAAAAGAAAAATGCAATCGTCAGTCTTTTCAGTTCTTTTTTGATATTTGAGTATTTGATATTTGTATTTTATCATCATATGCGTTATCCAACTTAACCATATGTAAATTTTTGTTTCTTACAATTCCTCACCACCAAACATTGACACATTTTCTCATCTTTGTCAGTCTCTCTCCACTTAACTCTTTCAGAACTTGCCACATTGGGAGCTATGCAATTCATCTGCAGTTTTCTTAATGCACATGGGCTTCCTTCCCATAGACCTTTAATTACTGAAAACATACAGTGTCTTTTCGACTGTACTTAAATTTTTTCCTCTGAGGTGCTTTCATCTCTTGGGACATGTATCTGACAAGGAAGCCCTTAAGCTTCCTTAGGTCAGCAAATACACGAATCAACGTGATAACTGTTAGAAACAGAACATTTCATGGGCGCATATTTGTGCCGTGTTTAGAAAAATAGAATTCTCACTCCAGAAACGTTGTTTATTGAGGTACTCATGTCATGTCTCTAAATGGGATGAACTGAGGTGACTTTGGTCAGTAAAGTAGCATGGCTGTCAGGTCTACCAACCCACAGTGTGTCCTCTGTGTGTTGTGTTGTGTGTCTGCCATCCCAAGCAGAGTCTCCTCCCACCACCATTCGTGTCCTCTCCACCTATTTTATGCCTCCCCCACGTGCCTCCCCTCAAAAGCACACTGTTTTCCGTGTCCATATTTCTGTCTCTAATTCCTCATGTGGCCATTAAATTTCTTCAATGTGTGAAAACACGCCAAAAACCAAAGACCTCAACTTCTTGCTCTCTTGGCTTTTGGGTTCTCTTTTAGAAGTTCAGGGAATTGTTCAAGTCCTGCATCAGCTGGATTGAAGGAAACGAAATCCTCTGTTTCACATGAAATCTTGTCAGAGTCTCTTCTTTGACACCTTGTATTGTTTTCAAGACACTTTCATGCTTGAACAAGTACCTATTCTCTGATGAAATAATCTTCTCGGCAAATCCTTTTGTGATGCCTCACTCAGTACATCTTTGTTTAATCTCATGTGGAAGTACACTGCTTGGTTCCTGCTGTAGGTATTAGATTGCTGAAGTGTTTCCAAGGCATGTCACTTGTCTCACTGAAAACAACACTGTTTCTAATTCATAGAATTTGAGGTGAAGGTTGTTGGTGGGCCATATATTTGTCCCCTTTCTTGAACCGAATGATTCATGGTTTTGGAGGTACTAACTCCATGGTCTACCTTCACTGATGCCTTCTTCTGTTTGCCATTGCTCCCAAACATGAAAAAGAATTCAGTGACTCATCAGTTCATGCTGAAGTGTTTGGATACACTAGCAAGAGGTGGAGTGCAATGGTTTTTCTCATCCAAGTGCTATGTTTATGAGAAAGGAGCTGTGTCCAGATGAACAGGTGTCAGCATCATGTGAGGATGTTAGAGATCTTGTCTCACATTTAGCCTGACCAGAAGTGGAAAAGCACCTTTGGCTGGGTAGGAGCTCCCCAAGGCCATATCGGCACTGTAGTGTGCCTTGGCACACACGTCAAAAAATTGCTGTTTCTAGGGGCACAGGGAGAAGCTCAGGACTCAGGCAGGTGGTCCTGATGGACAGGCTAAATGAGGCAGATCAGCAAGCATAGGTGAAAAGGGGGAGTGTGATTCAGCCAAGGCTGGAGATTTATAGATTGAGCAAAGTCTGAAAAATGACATGAGGTCTCGGGGAGACAAACAGCTTGAGCTGAGTGAGTGATCCAGTTCTGAAAAGGAAGTGAGTCACCCTGGCCACTGTGGACTAGTTGGTAGAAGCATTGTCCCAATTCTAAAAGTTTGTTGGTTGCACAGGTGGTTTGTGTGGTTATGATTCTTGGTCAGGCAACCCATCAGTGATTTTCTCTGACATTGATGTTGCCTTCTCTTCTTCCCCTGTCTGTGTCAAAAATGCATGGACCAAATGACCTCGGGAGGTCTAATTGTTCATAGTACTACAGTTTACAATAATCAAGTGTTGGAAGAAACCTAAGTGCCCATGAGTGAATGAATGAATCAAAACACTGGGGTCCATTTACTCCAAGGAATACTCCACAACAGAAAGAAAGAAAGAAAGAAAGAAAGAAAGAAAGAAAGAAAGAAAGAAAGAAAGAAAGAAGGCACTCCTATGTTTTGTGAAAGCACAGGTGTGTCTGGAGAGGATTGTGTTAAGTGAAATATGCGAGGCCAGGAAAGACAAATGACACATGATCACAACTATAGGTGGAACCTAATCAACAAGCAAACACGCAAGCAAAATACAATCCCAGACAGTGAAATGAAGAAGAAACTGACAGTAACAAGAGTGGAGGTGGGCGTGGATATTGGGGAAAAAGAGAGAGGGTTTTTCAGGAATATGGAAAAGGTACCAGGGACAATACCAGTGGGTGGGAAGTTAGGATGACTGTTGTGTGGGGAGTGGCGGAAGGAAATTGGAACAACTGTTCTTGAACAACAATGACAAATGTAAAAACTAAAAGGCAGTTGAACTGCTTTTCTTTAAAAAGAACTACAAAAGCAAAAGCAAACTTTAAAAGCAGACTGTGAGTCATGTGTTATTGTTTGGAGCTGAAGTGGTTTCCTGAACTGCCACGGGAGGAGAATGGCCAATGACCAGCTGTGGGAGGTGGCAGAAAGGAGCCTCAAACACAGTTCTTTCAGGAGGCTGGGCAGGCGTCCCAGTTTCAGTGTTTCACTGGCTGAGACTGCACAACAGCTAGGAGCTGCGTCTGGGTCTGGTGATTGCAATGCTTCTCTTTGTGGGTCAAAAAGGCAATGTCAAACCCCGATTTCCTAGTAGCAGTGCAGCCAATTTCATGTAAGCAGATGTTGACCTCTGGAAGGAAACCTTTCGGAGACCCTGTTGGAAGGCTGAAGAAAAGGCCTGTGAAAGGTGAGGTGTAAGGGCAGGTGTGCTGGGGGAAAGGCTTTGGAGTGTTCAGCGCTTAGGTGAACTTAAAAATGGTTGCAGGGGCAGGCTCAGTGGACCCAAACCAAGGATGAGTGTAGAGTGTAGTGTGCATTGCCTCCAAGCTTGTAGAACATTTGTGGTTTGGGGCAGGGTGCTGAAGCCTAAAAATCTTGGGCTGTGAGAAACCAGATCACTGTGCAAAAGGCAGAGAGTGAAGAGGTGGGTGTTGAGGGTGAAAGAAGAGTTTGGGATGTGCACTGCCCAGGAGAATATAGGCAGATAAGGTGGGTGTGAGAGAAACGGCAAAGTGTTCTTGACTGTGAGGTGACGCAGACATGGACCCCCAGTGCCTGTGGCATCATTGATGAGCCACGAGGTAAATTCACACAGACTACTGAGTCCTGTGGAGGAAGAGGAATGGCATGGCTAGTCCCTCGGGTGGGGAGAGCCTTGGAGCGGCCTGGCAGGCTTAGCTCTTTCCAGGGAGATAAGCTTTGTTCTTATAGTGGCTTATGGTCTTAAGGGAACTCACTGAGTCATAGCCATGGGAGGTTACAGCTGCTGAAATCAGGCAGGGTGGTTCCCAAAAGTGGAGAGCCCAGAGGAACCTGGGAAGGGTGGGTGGGTAAGTACTGGTTAAATAAGGGGGAAAGATGAAGAGAGGGCAAGTCACGCAGGTGAATTTCAGTGTTAGGAGTCACTTTTCAGGGGTTGACATTGCTTGTGCACACTTTTCTTTGCTCAGACCAGAAGTGGGGTTAGTGGAGTCTTACCCTGTTAGACATGAAGGTCTGAAAGGTCCCTTTGGGATGGTAGTGGGGCTTGTGAGCTCCACAGTGTTCCCCAGCCAAGGTCTGTGCTTACACGTCTGCTGGTAGTTTCTGAACATAGTGCTTCATGTTCCCCCCCTTCTTGATGCTCACCTGTTCCTTGAGACTTACTTTCCCAAGAAGCTGCTCAGGGCCCTGGGTGTATCTGCCTTCCCGGAGGCAGCCCTTTCATGTCCACTTGTCCATCTTGCTCTTGTCTTTCTGCAAGTCTGGAAATCCCCTTTGCCAGGCCAGGGATCTTGACTCATGGCCACCTGCTTTTCTCTGCATTCTGGAGCTTTTGGATTTTTTATTTTTACATTTTTTTCTATTTTTGAAAAGTATAGTTGTGTTCATTTCCTCTCCAACATCCTCTCCCCTTCTCATTCCACCCATCTCGAGCCCCCTCCCTTGATCCTACCCACCTTTGGCTTCATTCACGTGTACCTTACACATTTCCTAAAAACAATTTAACCTTTTCCTCTTATTATCCATTCCCACCTTCCTACTAAATACTGTCAGTCTCTCTTAAATTTAATGTTTCTGGACCTCTTATGATGCAGGAGGATTTTATTGCCTCCTGAGGACTGTATTCTGGAAGCTGACTTTGAAAATTCTCTCTTCTCCTATATCCTCTGAAGACTCACAATTCAGACCACTCCTGTCTAATGGAGGTGTGCTTCCCAACCCTGGGAGATAACTCAAGATCAGGAACCCTTCCCTTCTCAGATCACAGGATGGGATTCACCCCAAATAGAAAGAACGTTACAAAAGAGCAGCCAGGACATCACATTCTTTTAGCACCATTTTTTTTTTTATGGGCTTCAAGGTGCCTTTCATGCCAAGGAGGTGGAGGTGGTATAAATGTGGAAGGTAGGTTGAACTGTAAATTCCATGGTCCGTGGTAGATGAAGGGGGAGTGCAGGAATAAGTCAGTGAAGCTGATAAAAAGGGGACGTGAGCCCTCCAAAAGACCATTATTGTCACATAGCAAATCTATATGTGATGAGGAAGCCACACTCTCCTATTTGAACTCCCCACAGGGAGATGTCACATAAAAATACTATGTGGGTTTGTCTTGTAAGCAATCACAAGATTGTGTAAACAAAAGCTGGCTTCATAGGCAGAGAATAAACCACACACACTCGTGCCAGGTGGGACCGCAGATTCCGTTTTCTAAGGTAATAGTTGATGTTCCTTTTTTAAAGCCTTCACATCGACCTGCTTGTACACAGCTGCAGCTGTCTTGTCAAGGACAAAACCCAGCATCTCACTGATTACAAATTTACACAGTAGCTCCAAGACAAAAGGTGCTCAGTGCATTTCATACGCCTGTAATTTATGTCTTCTGATATCCCAGAATTTCTCCGCATAAAGTTGAGTGAAGGCCTGCACTTTGTTCTCCATGCCCGGGTCCGTTTTAAACTAACTCAGCAGATCCCAAAAACTAATGTAACACTTGCTTCCTCTGCTCTTGGTGGAAGCAATGACTGTTCTAGGAGAGTTGGCCATTTTATAGGGGAATCCTGGGCAAGCTCCTCCTTGGCTAGAAGTCTTGACCAATGAATGTGTGTGCCAGGTCAGCAAGGAACAGTTGTTGTCTTGAGTCTGTTTCCTCTGACAAAAACTCTGAAGAACCTGTAATCTCTGTTTTCTAAGCTGGTACTCGAAGAACATGCTACTTTTAATGGAAGCAAGGGGAGCCTTGTCGAATTCTTCTCAGTGGACTCTTGATATTTGCACAAAATTATGTTATCAAAGTTAGTATTCAGCTTGAGTACAGGGAAAACTGTCTTTCTTGAAATTTCTCGCCAGCAACCCCTGCACCCCTTTCACTGCTTTTCTCATCTTCCTCAGTGTGTCTCTTCATCAATCTCTTAGAAATAACCAAATGTAGAACATTCTCTAAACTTCTCCTCAATTTTTAGAAAGGTTAACAGTCCATTTTCTTCTGCGGTGTTTAAAAAAATGTTCAATAACGCTATTACCTAATACATTCTGTGTTTTTTTTTTTTTTTTTTTACTTTTTGTTAATTGAAGGTTTGGGCTGTATAGAGCAGTCAGTCAAGTACCTCTTGGAATCAAAATCTGAAAGTCATGGGAGAAATAGACAAAACTGTACTTGAAAAATAACTAAATAAAATTAATTAAAAAACAAACAAACAAAAAAACCCTGAAAGTCCGTTACCCCTTCTTTTTCTCAAAATGTTAAAAAACAGTAATCGTAAAAGTATATGGTGTATTTTTTTTTTATCATAATTGAAACTTTTTGCTCTTCAGAAGAGTGTCTTTTCTTCTTTTTTTTTGTAATGGCAGAATAATACTTTGAATACAAGTATAAAATGTATAACAAGGTAAGTAGAAATCCAGGGTAAGAAGATGATATTAAGAATTTAAACAATTTTCAAAGTCATATTTTTGCTTCTTGAAATTAACTTGTACTTGTATACCTGATTTTTGTTAATGAAATTTTCAGTGCAGTTAAGTCCTCAGTAATTTTTGCTGTACCCCTAGCAACACTCTTAAAGCCTATCCTGTTAGATTTTAAAGCTTCCTAGTTACTCGAATGGCTTTGCTTAATCATTCTTTGATTAGGTGTGGTTATTTTCAATAAGATATGTATGAATATTATATGCGTGTGTTCTGAGCTTACATAAACTCATGCTAACTTTTTATAATTACAGCTGAGAAACAAGCACTTTCACTGCACTATAATATTCCCTTCAGAAAATCTAGCACAATCGTTTCATGCAAGAAGTATGACATCCTCTTATTTACTTATAATGGAAGTTTCCTTCTGTTCTTTTATATATTTCTGAGAAAAATGTGATGTTCTTCAAAAGGAGGGTTAGATACTAAATACTTTTCTTTGTTCCATAGTACTAAAATTTGATTGAATGGACCAACTTGCAAGAGCTGCTGATTTTGAAAATGAGATTGAGACTTCACTGGATAAAGTCAACCATTGTTAAGACAAGTAGAACATTGTACAACACAATAAACTTCACATTAGGAATTTCTTCAAAGATACACCCATATTCAAGTCAAGTCTTAACTATAGTTTAGATATATGAAATTTAGCACTGAGTAGTGAAGAAACAGGTAGTGACCAAAAAGAGGAAATATGTAAAATAGAAAGATAGCCTCTTTTTTAAATAATAAGTGAGAAAATTGTTTTTAGCACGATAAATATTTGAACTTGGAGAGAAACAGAAAGAAATATTGGCAAAATAAAATAAAAATGAAACAAATCAAAACGATACCACAGTGCTATTACTACCACCAACAATAACAGAAAGAAAAGTCTCTTATCTTTCAAGTTTTAAGACAGTGTTAATAATCCATTTTCCCTTCCATTATTCAAAACTACTAGAACCTGATCCTGAAGACCAAGAAGGAAGCAAAACACAAGCAGAGACATTGAGATTAAGAAAAAAGCAAAAGAACCTGGAGGAGAGATGGGAGAAGATTCCTCAGATAGGTTATGGGGAAGGGTTTTGAGGACCATCTATCTAGGACACATGGAGAAAATAGAGGGAGGGAAGTTAAGAAGTGGAGATGATGGGGGTGGGGGTGCGTGGTGGGATGAACATGGAGACCCGTTGACCTGTGCAATAAGATATTTAGAACAACATCACCAATTTCTATCACTAAATACATACGCATTGTTTTTTTAAGTAAAGTGAAATTCATTCCTCTTTAGAAAAGTCCATTTTCTTTTCAAGTTTTAAAACAAAGTTAACTGTCTGTGTGTTTTTCAATTAAAAAAAAACTATTAAACATTTGTATTACTAAAATTATGCTGGGTGTATTTAACTTATTTGAAATTCAGGACTCTTTATAACAAACAGTCCACTTTTTCCTTAGTTTTTCAAAGACTGTTATCTGTCCATTTTCCCCTCAATGGAAAAAGAAATGTTCAAAGGGATATTGTTCAAAAGACACCACATATGGTGTCTTATTACCTTCACGAATATTTTTTTTCTTTAGAACTGTCCATTCTGTCTTCAACCCTAAAACAATGTTAACAGTTCATTTTCAGTTCCAGTAGTCAAAATAAGTGGAACGGAGTCAAGAGAAGCAGGAAGCAAAAGTATGAGCAGAGACACTGAATGTAAGAACCCACTGAGAGTAGGCAGAGGGGAGGTGGGAGGAGATGAAGGGGTGGGGAGGAAGAAGGGTGTTTGAGGAACAGGTTTGAAGGACAGGAGGGCCAAACTAAAGAAAGGTAGGTTAATGCTGGGAAGTGGGCTTCATGGGGGTGGTGGGAGTAGTTGTGGGGGGGAGTGGAGACAGGTGTACTTGAACAACAATAAACAATTTGAAGACAATGTTTGAAAATTCTATGCTAAACACATGTGGTTTATTGTTCAGTTAATGGAGATGTTTTGTTGTTCAGAAGAGTCCATTTTCCCTTCAAGTTTTAGAATCGTGTTAGAAAGCTCCATTACTCAAAATGTATAGTTTCTTTTGGAAGTCATTGAAATTCTTTGCTCTTAGGCCCTTTAGTCTCTGAGGTCACCTAACAAGTAAGCAATGAAAATTTTTTTAGGTTAGTAAAGAAGGACTGAACATCATTACTCTTCAAAACAGAATCTGCCATTGGCCAAAACACGCACAAGGTTTAAAGACACACAATTTTTGTGCTTAAAACTCTAGTTCCCGAGAAAGGTTGTTCAGTTGCTCTGAATGGGATGAAGTGAGGTGACAGGGGCCAAAACAACAGCACATCTGTCAGGGTGACCAGTTCCCAGTGTGTCCCCTGTGGGCTGTGTTTTGTGTCCCCCATCCCGAGCAGAGTCTCCTCCCACCACCACCCTGTGTGCTCTCTACCCTTGCCTGCCTCGCCCACCCGCCTGTCCTTCCACAGTCAGCGCACTGCTGTCTCGAGTCCCAGCTTCTCTCTCTAAGTCCTTCCGTTATCACTAGAATCCTCCAGCCCATCAAGGAAAGACCTCAGCTCCTCCTTCCCTTTGTCATTTTATTCTCTTGAAGAACTTGAGGGAAGTGCTCGAGCTCTGCCATCCCCCAAAACAGAACCCAAGCTCAAGTAGCAAGCAGGGTGTGAGTAAAGTGTAACTCTTGGGAGCCAAAGAGGTCTCCTGAAAAGCCACGTGGAAACGATGGCCAATGAGAAGCAGGAGGATGTGGTGGCAAGGCTTATATATCAGTGTCTGGAGCTGGGGTGGGGTTCTCAGTTTCAGTTCTTCAGTTGCTGAGACTTCACAGTTACTCAAAGCTGGGTCTGGGTGTGGTGATTGCAGTGCCACTCTTGCCTCAGAAAGGCCATTAAACCTCAGAGCTTCAAGCCTCATTGCAGCCAATTTTTTCATGGAAGCAGATGTTGACAGCTGGGAGGAATCCTTCTGGGACCCTGAAGGAAGGCTGAGGAAAATGCCCTTTCAAGGTGAGGGGTCTTTGGGGAGGGGTCGATGTGTAAAGGGCCTTAGTGTGTTCAGTGCCAGGAGTAACCCCAAATGGAGAGAGGAAGGTGCCCTGGGGGGAAAAGGAGGAAGAGTGTGGAGTGCAGTGTGAAGAGCCTGGACCTTGGTAGAAATTTTTACAGCAGGGTGCCCAAGCCCACAGGTCCTGGGGGGTGAGGAACCTCATCCATCTGGAAGAGGCAGAGAGTAAAGTTGTGTGTTTTGAGGGACAGAAAAGAGTTTGGGCAGAGTGCAGCCCAGGAAAATCTAGACAGATGAGGAGAGTGTGAGAGGAGGGGCAGAGGGTCCTTGGCTGTGGTGGAGCCAGGGGAACCTGAAAAGGACGGGAGGGGAAGGCTGTCTGAAGTGAGGGGCAAAGAGACGAGGAAGAGAGGGGCCAGCGGCGCAGAAGAATCCCGCGGAGGTGAATCTGAAGGGTAGGAATAAGGAACGTTGCGGGGGTTGACACTGCTTGTCCACACGTTTCTTTCCTTCACAAAGGGGCCTCAGCGGAGTCCCCCTCTTTGGAAACGGTAGGTCTGAAAGGTCCATTCAGGAGGGCAGAGGGGTTTGTCAAGTCCACAAGTTCCCCTGCCAAGGGCTGTCCTAAGAGTTGTAGGGGAAGGGGCGGTGGAGAGAACTCAGAGCCTCATGCTCCCCCCTTTCCTGACCTTACCTTGTTCCTTGATTTTTTCTGCCCCAAGAGCCTGCTCGTGGCCCCGTGGGTGTCTCCTGCTTCCCCATGGGGGCCATTTAGGGCCGGCCCCTCCATCTCGTGGTCCCGGTCCTGTCAGTGTGGAAATCCCCTTCACAGGCACCAGGGTGTGCACTCCTGGCCACACCCTCTGCTCTCCACACTGAAGCAGGAGGCTTCTAAAGCCTCTTGAGGACTAGACTCTAGACCGTAATGTTTGAAACTTCTCTAGTTTAAAAATACTGAGAAGGGTTTCGGTGCATAATCCTCCTGCCCCACAGAGAAGCCCTCCCAGCACCCGCACCCATCCCCTGCTCAGAACCCAGGCCTGGGACTCACCCCACTAATGGGAAGTGAGTCACCAAGAACAGCAAGGACACCACAGGCTTTTTGCACCGTTCTTTTTATTTCCTTGGCTTCAAGGTGCCTCTCATGCCAGGGAGGTGGAGGTGGTGTGGTAAAGGAAGCCTCGTTCAGTAGCAAAATTTTGTGCTTCCTGGCAATTGAAGGTGCCTGGCAGGAACAGGTTGGGAAAGCCATGAAAGGGAGACTGTGAGCCCCCTGAAGACCATTATTGTAACATAGCACATTTGTATGTGATGAGGAAGCAACAATCTACTGTCTAATTCCTCATGGGGAGTCATTGAATAAAAATGTTGTGCTCCCCTTTGTCTTGTAAGTAGTCACAAGATTGTGTAAAAACACGGGCAGAGATTAAACCACAAAAACTGGTGCCGGGTTGGACTGCCGAATCCATTTTCTAAAATAATACTTGATGTTCCGTTTTAAAGCTTTCACATCGACCAGCTTGGACACAGCTGCAGCTATCTTGTTGAGGACAAAAAGCACTAACTCAGTGATTAGACGTGGACCCAGTGGGTCCAAGACACGAACGGCTCGGTGCATTCCATTCTCCTGTAATTTATGTCTTACAATATCCCAGATCTCCTTTGCATAAGGTTGAATGAAGGCTCGCACTTCGTTCTTCATGCCTGGGTCCATTTTAAACTAACTCAGCAGGTTCCAATAAACAATGTAACACTTGCTTCCTCAGCTCTTGGTGGAAGCAATGCCCTCCCTGTAGGAGGAAGTCAGCCTTTAATAGTGGAGAGGGGAGCTGTGGATGCACTTATGCTTCACCAGAAGTGTTGAGGAAGTGTGTGTGCCACGTCCCACAGAAAGGGGAGGTTTTCTAAACCTAGCTGCACTGGCATGTGGTTCTTTTCACAAAACATAGGATTCTTTTCACAAAACATAGAATTTGAGCAATGTGTGTGTTCCACGTCACCCAGGGAGAGCTGTTTTCTAAAACTGCTTCAGGAACAGAGGTTTCTAAACATTGTTTATTTGTTTTCTTTGCAGAGGTCATAGGATTTGGCTTCTAAGCTTGTACGGACATCGAAACTTCCTCACTGCAATGAAAAAAAAAGAAAAAATGCAATCGTCAGTCTTTTCAGTTCTTTTTTGATATTTGAGTATTTGATATTTGTATTTTATCATCATATGCGTTATCCAACTTAACCATATGTAAATTTTTGTTTCTTACAATTCCTCACCACCAAACATTGACACATTTTCTCATCTTTGTCAGTCTCTCTCCACTTAACTCTTTCAGAACTTGCCACATTGGGAGCTATGCAATTCATCTGCAGTTTTCTTAATGCACATGGGCTTCCTTCCCATAGACCTTTAATTACTGAAAACATACAGTGTCTTTTCGACTGTACTTAAATTTTTTCCTCTGAGGTGCTTTCATCTCTTGGGACATGTATCTGACAAGGAAGCCCTTAAGCTTCCTTAGGTCAGCAAATACACGAATCAACGTGATAACTGTTAGAAACAGAACATTTCATGGGCGCATATTTGTGCCGTGTTTAGAAAAATAGAATTCTCACTCCAGAAACGTTGTTTATTGAGGTACTCATGTCATGTCTCTAAATGGGATGAACTGAGGTGACTTTGGTCAGTAAAGTAGCATGGCTGTCAGGTCTACCAACCCACAGTGTGTCCTCTGTGTGTTGTGTTGTGTGTCTGCCATCCCAAGCAGAGTCTCCTCCCACCACCATTCGTGTCCTCTCCACCTATTTTATGCCTCCCCCACGTGCCTCCCCTCAAAAGCACACTGTTTTCCGTGTCCATATTTCTGTCTCTAATTCCTCATGTGGCCATTAAATTTCTTCAATGTGTGAAAACACGCCAAAAACCAAAGACCTCAACTTCTTGCTCTCTTGGCTTTTGGGTTCTCTTTTAGAAGTTCAGGGAATTGTTCAAGTCCTGCATCAGCTGGATTGAAGGAAACGAAATCCTCTGTTTCACATGAAATCTTGTCAGAGTCTCTTCTTTGACACCTTGTATTGTTTTCAAGACACTTTCATGCTTGAACAAGTACCTATTCTCTGATGAAATAATCTTCTCGGCAAATCCTTTTGTGATGCCTCACTCAGTACATCTTTGTTTAATCTCATGTGGAAGTACACTGCTTGGTTCCTGCTGTAGGTATTAGATTGCTGAAGTGTTTCCAAGGCATGTCACTTGTCTCACTGAAAACAACACTGTTTCTAATTCATAGAATTTGAGGTGAAGGTTGTTGGTGGGCCATATATTTGTCCCCTTTCTTGAACCGAATGATTCATGGTTTTGGAGGTACTAACTCCATGGTCTACCTTCACTGATGCCTTCTTCTGTTTGCCATTGCTCCCAAACATGAAAAAGAATTCAGTGACTCATCAGTTCATGCTGAAGTGTTTGGATACACTAGCAAGAGGTGGAGTGCAATGGTTTTTCTCATCCAAGTGCTATGTTTATGAGAAAGGAGCTGTGTCCAGATGAACAGGTGTCAGCATCATGTGAGGATGTTAGAGATCTTGTCTCACATTTAGCCTGACCAGAAGTGGAAAAGCACCTTTGGCTGGGTAGGAGCTCCCAAGGCCATATCGGCACTGTAGTGTGCCTTGGCACACACGTCAAAAAATTGCTGTTTCTAGGGGCACAGGGAGAAGCTCAGGACTCAGGTAGGTGGTCCTGATGGACAGGCTAAATGAGGCAGATCAGCAAGCATAGAGTGAAAAGGGAGTGTGATTCAGCCAAGGCTGGAGATTTATAGATTGAGCAAAGTCTGAAAAATGACATGAGGTCTCGGGAGACAAACAGCTTGAGCTGAGTGAGTGATCCAGTTCTGAAAAGGAAGTGAGTCACCCTGGCCACTGTGGACTAGTTGGTAGAAGCATTGTCCCAATTCTAAAAGTTTGTTGGTTGCACAGGTGGTTTGTGTGGTTATGATTCTTGGTCAGGCAACCCATCAGTGATTTTCTCTGACATTGATGTTGCCTTCTCTTCTTCCCTGTCTGTGTCAAAAATGCACGGACCAAATGACCTCGGGAGGTCTAATTGTTCATAGTACTACAGTTTACAATAATCAAGTGTTGGAAGAAACCTAAGTGCCCATGAGTGAATGAATGAATCAAAACACTGGGGTCCATTTACTCAAGGAATACTCCACAACAGAAAGAAAGAAAGAAAGAAGGCACTCCTATGTTTTGTGAAAGCACAGGTGTGTCTGGAGAGGATTGTGTTAAGTGAAATATGCGAGGCCAGGAAAGACAAATGACACATGATCACAACTATAGGTGGAACCTAATCAACAAGCAAACACGCAAGCAAAATACAATCCCAGACAGTGAAATGAAGAAGAAACTGACAGTAACAAGAGTGGAGGTGGGCGTGGATATTGGGGAAAAAGAGAGAGGGTTTTTCAGGAATATGGAAAAGGTACCAGGGACAATACCAGTGGGTGGGAAGTTAGGATGACTGTTGTGTGGGGGAGTGGCGGAAGGAAATTGGAACAACTGTTCTTGAACAACAATGACAAATGTAAAAACTAAAAGGCAGTTGAACTGCTTTTCTTTAAAAAGAACTACAAAAGCAAAAGCAAACTTTAAAAGCAGACTGTGAGTCATGTGTTATTGTTTGGAGCTGAAGTGGTTTCCTGAACTGCCACGGGAGGAGAATGGCCAATGACCAGCTGTGGGAGGTGTGCAGAAAGGGAGCCTCAAACACAGTTCTTTCAGGAGGCTGGGCAGGCGTCCCAGTTTCAGTGTTTCACTGGCTGAGACTGCACAACAGCTAGGAGCTGCGTCTGGGTCTGGTGATTGCAATGCTTCTCTTTGTGGGTCAAAAAGGCAATGTCAAACCCCGATTTCCTAGTAGCAGTGCAGCCAATTTCATGTAAGCAGATGTTGACCTCTGGAAGGAAACCTTTCGGAGACCCTGTTGGAAGGCTGAAGAAAAGGCCTGTGAAAGGTGAGGTGTAAGGGCAGGTGTGCTGGGGGAAAGGCTTTGGAGTGTTCAGCGCTTAGGTGAACTTAAAAATGGTTGCAGGGGCAGGCTCAGTGGACCCAAACCAAGGATGAGTGTAGAGTGTAGTGTGCATTGCCTCCAAGCTTGTAGAACATTTGTGGTTTGGGGCAGGGTGCTGAAGCCTAAAAATCTTGGGCTGTGAGAAACCAGATCACTGTGCAAAAGGCAGAGAGTGAAGAGGTGGGTGTTGAGGGTGAAAGAAGAGTTTGGGATGTGCACTGCCCAGGAGAATATAGGCAGATAAGGTGGGTGTGAGAGAAACGGCAAAGTGTTCTTGACTGTGAGGTGACGCAGACATGGACCCCCAGTGCCTGTGGCATCATTGATGAGCCACGAGGGTAAATTCACACAGACTACTGAGTCCTGTGGAGGAAGAGGAATGGCATGGCTAGTCCCTCGGGTGGGGAGAGCCTTGGAGCGGCCTGGCAGGCTTAGCTCTTTCCAGGGAGATAAGCTTTGTTCTTATAGTGGCTTATGGTCTTAAGGGGAACTCACTGAGTCATAGCCATGGGAGGTTACAGCTGCTGAAATCAGGCAGGGTGGTTCCCAAAAGTGGAGAGCCCAGAGGAACCTGGGAAGGGTGGGTGGGTAAGTACTGGTTAAATAAGGGGGGGAAAGATGAAGAGAGGGCAAGTCACGCAGGTGAATTTCAGTGTTAGGAGTCACTTTTCAGGGGTTGACATTGCTTGTGCACACTTTTCTTTGCTCAGACCAGAAGTGGGGTTAGTGGAGTCTTACCCTGTTAGACATGAAGGTCTGAAAGGTCCCTTTGGGATGGTAGTGGGGCTTGTGAGCTCCACAGTGTTCCCCAGCCAAGGTCTGTGCTTACACGTCTGCTGGTAGTTTCTCGAACATAGTGCTTCATGTTCCCCCCCTTCTTGATGCTCACCTGTTCCTTGAGACTTACTTTCCCAAGAAGCTGCTCAGGGCCCTGGGTGTATCTGCCTTCCCGGAGGCAGCCCTTTCATGTCCACTTGTCCATCTTGCTCTTGTCTTTCTGCAAGTCTGGAAATCCCCTTTGCCAGGCCAGGGATCTTGACTCATGGCCACCTGCTTTTCTCTGCATTCTGGAGCTTTTGGATTTTTTATTTTTTACATTTTTTTCTATTTTTGAAAAGTATAGTTGTGTTCATTTCCTCTCCAACATCCTCTCCCCTTCTCATTCCACCCATCTCGAGCCCCCTCCCTTGATCCTACCCACCTTTGGCTTCATTCACGTGTACCTTACACATTTCCTAAAAACAATTTAACCTTTTCCTCTTATTATCCATTCCCACCTTCCTACTAAATACTGTCAGTCTCTCTTAAATTTAATGTTTCTGGACCTCTTATGATGCAGGAGGATTTTATTGCCTCCTGAGGACTGTATTCTGGAAGCTGACTTTGAAAATTCTCTTTCTCCTATATCCTCTGAAGACTCACAATTCAGACCACTCCTGTCTAATGGAGGTGTGCTTCCCAACCCTGGGAGATAACTCAAGATCAGGAACCCTTCCCTTCTCAGATCACAGGATGGGATTCACCCCAAATAGAAAGAACGTTACAAAAGAGCAGCCAGGACATCACATTCTTTTAGCACCATTTTTTTTTTTTATGGGCTTCAAGGTGCCTTTCATGCCAAGGAGGTGGAGGTGGTATAAATGTGGAAGGTAGGTTGAACTGTAAATTCCATGGTCCGTGGTAGATGAAGGGGGAGTGCAGGAATAAGTCAGTGAAGCTGATAAAAGGGGACTGTGAGCCCTCCAAAAGACCATTATTGTCACATAGCAAATCTATATGTGATGAGGAAGCCACACTCTCCTATTTGAACTCCCCACAGGGAGATGTCACATAAAAATACTATGTGGGTTTGTCTTGTAGGCAATCACAAGATTGTGTAAACAAAAGCTGGCTTCATAGGCAGAGAATAAACCACACACACTCGTGCCAGGTGGGACCGCAGATTCCGTTTTCTAAGGTAATAGTTGATGTTCCTTTTTTAAAGCCTTCACATCGACCTGCTTGTACACAGCTGCAGCTGTCTTGTCAAGGACAAAACCCAGCATCTCACTGATTACAAATTTACACAGTAGCTCCAAGACAAAAGGTGCTCAGTGCATTTCATACGCCTGTAATTTATGTCTTCTGATATCCCAGAATTTCTCCGCATAAAGTTGAGTGAAGGCCTGCACTTTGTTCTCCATGCCCGGGTCCGTTTTAAACTAACTCAGCAGATCCCAAAAACTAATGTAACACTTGCTTCCTCTGCTCTTGGTGGAAGCAATGACTGTTCTAGGAGAGTTGGCCATTTTATAGGGGAATCCTGGGCAAGCTCCTCCTTGGCTAGAAGTCTTGACCAATGAATGTGTGTGCCAGGTCAGCAAGGAACAGTTGTTGTCTTGAGTCTGTTTCCTCTGACAAAAACTCTGAAGAACCTGTAATCTCTGTTTTCTAAGCTGGTACTCGAAGAACATGCTACTTTTAATGGAAGCAAGGGGAGCCTTGTCGAATTCTTCTCAGTGGACTCTTGATATTTGCACAAAATTATGTTATCAAAGTTAGTATTCAGCTTGAGTACAGGGAAAACTGTCTTTCTTGAAATTTCTCGCCAGCAACCCTGCACCCCTTTCACTGCTTTTCTCATCTTCCTCAGTGTGTCTCTTCATCAATCTCTTAGAAATAACCAAATGTAGAACATTCTCTAAACTTCTCCTCAATTTTTAGAAAGGTTAACAGTCCATTTTCTTCTGCGGTGTTTAAAAAAATGTTCAATAACGCTATTACCTAATACATTCTGTGGTTTTTTTTTTTTTTTTTTTTACTTTTTGTTAATTGAAGGTTTGGGCTGTATAGAGCAGTCAGTCAAGTACCTCTTGGAATCAAAATCTGAAAGTCATGGGAGAAATAGACAAAACTGTACTTGAAAAATAACTAAATAAAATTAATTAAAAAACAAACAAACAAAAAAACCCTGAAAGTCCGTTACCCCTTCTTTTTCTCAAAATGTTAAAAAACAGTAATCGTAAAAGTATATGGTGTATTTTTTTTTTTATCATAATTGAAACTTTTTGCTCTTCAGAAGAGTGTCTTTTCTTCTTTTTTTTTGTAATGGCAGAATAATACTTTGAATACAAGTATAAAATGTATAACAAGGTAAGTAGAAATCCAGGGTAAGAAGATGATATTAAGAATTTAAACAATTTTCAAAGTCATATTTTTGCTTCTTGAAATTAACTTGTACTTGTATACCTGATTTTTGTTAATGAAATTTTCAGTGCAGTTAAGTCCCTCAGTAATTTTTTGCTGTACCCCTAGCAACACTCTTAAAGCCTATCCTGTTAGATTTTAAAGCTTCCTAGTTACTCGAATGGCTTTGCTTAATCATTCTTTGATTAGGTGTGGTTATTTTCAATAAGATATGTATGAATATTATATGCGTGTGTTCTGAGCTTACATAAACTCATGCTAACTTTTTATAATTACAGCTGAGAAACAAGCACTTTCACTGCACTATAATATTCCCTTCAGAAAATCTAGCACAATCGTTTCATGCAAGAAGTATGACATCCTCTTATTTACTTATAATGGAAGTTTCCTTCTGTTCTTTTATATATTTCTGAGAAAAATGTGATGTTCTTCAAAAGGAGGGTTAGATACTAAATACTTTTCTTTGTTCCATAGTACTAAAATTTGATTGAATGGACCAACTTGCAAGAGCTGCTGATTTTGAAAATGAGATTGAGACTTCACTGGATAAAGTCAACCATTGTTAAGTCAAGTAGAACATTGTACAACACAATAAACTTCACATTAGGAATTTCTTCAAAGATACACCCATATTCAAGTCAAGTCTTAACTATAGTTTAGATATATGAAATTTAGCACTGAGTAGTGAAGAAACAGGTAGTGACCAAAAAGAGGAAATATGTAAAATAGAAAGATAGCCTCTTTTTAAATAATAAGTGAGAAAAATTGTTTTTAGCACGATAAATATTTGAACTTGGAGAGAAACAGAAAGAAATATTGGCAAAATAAAATAAAAATGAAACAAATCAAAACGATACCACAGTGCTATTACTACCACCAACAATAACAGAAAGAAAAGTCTCTTATCTTTCAAGTTTTAAGACAGTGTTAATAATCCATTTTCCCTTCCATTATTCAAAACTACTAGAACCTGATCCTGAAGACCAAGAAGGAAGCAAAACACAAGCAGAGACATTGAGATTAAGAAAAAAGCAAAAGAACCTGGAGGAGAGATGGGAGAAGATTCCTCAGATAGGTTATGGGGAAGGGTTTTGAGGACCATCTATCTAGGACACATGGAGAAAATAGAGGGAGGGAAGTTAAGAAGTGGAGATGATGGGGGTGGGGGTGCGTGGTGGGATGAACATGGAGACCCGTTGACCTGTGCAATAAGATATTTAGAACAACATCACCAATTTCTATCACTAAATACATACGCATTGTTTTTTTTAAGTAAAGTGAAATTCATTCCTCTTTAGAAAAGTCCATTTTCTTTTCAAGTTTTAAAACAAAGTTAACTGTCTGTGTGTTTTTCAATTAAAAAAAAACTATTAAACATTTGTATTACTAAAATTATGCTGGGTGTATTTAACTTATTTGAAATTCAGGACTCTTTATAACAAACAGTCCACTTTTTCCTTAGTTTTTCAAAGACTGTTATCTGTCCATTTTCCCCTCAATGGAAAAAGAAATGTTCAAAGGGATATTGTTCAAAAGACACCACATATGGTGTCTTATTACCTTCACGAATATTTTTTTCTTTAGAACTGTCCATTCTGTCTTCAACCCTAAAACAATGTTAACAGTTCATTTTCAGTTCCAGTAGTCAAAATAAGTGGAACGGAGTCAAGAGAAGCAGGAAGCAAAAGTATGAGCAGAGACACTGAATTTAAGAACCCACTGAGAGTAGGCAGAGGGGAGGTGGGGGGAGATGAAGGGTGGGGAGGAAGAAGGGTGTTTGAGGAACAGGTTTGAAGGACAGGAGGGCCAAACTAAAGAAAGGTAGGTTAATGCTGGGAAGTGGGCTTCATGGGGGTGGTGGGAGTAGTTGTGGGGGGGGGAGTGGAGACAGGTGTACTTGAACAACAATAAACAATTTGAAGACAATGTTTGAAAATTCTATGCTAAACACATGTGGTTTATTGTTCAGTTAATGGAGATGTTTTGTTGTTCAGAAGAGTCCATTTTCCCTTCAAGTTTTAGAATCATGTTAGAAAGCTCCATTACTCAAAATGTATAGTTTCTTTTGGAAGTCATTGAAATTCTTTGCTCTTAGGCCCTTTAGTCTCTGAGGTCACCTAACAAGTAAGCAATGAAAATTTTTTAGGTTAGTAAAAGAAGGACTGAACATCATTACTCTTCAAAACAGAATCTGCCATTGGCCAAAACACGCACAAGGTTTAAAGACACACAATTTTTGTGCTTAAAACTCTAGTTCCCGAGAAGGTTGTTCAGTTGCTCTGAATGGGATGAAGTGAGGTGACAGGGGCCAAAACAACAGCACATCTGTCAGGGTGACCAGTTCCCAGTGTGTCCCCTGTGGGCTGTGTTTTGTGTCCCCCATCCCGAGCAGAGTCTCCTCCCACCACCACCCTGTGTGCTCTCTACCCTTGCCTGCCCTCGCCCACCCGCCTGTCCTTCCACAGTCAGCGCACTGCTGTCTCGAGTCCCAGCTTCTCTCTCTAAGTCCTTCCGTTATCACTAGAATCCTCCAGCCCATCAAGGAAAGACCTCAGCTCCTCCTTCCCTTTGTCATTTTATTCTCTTGAAGAACTTGAGGGAAGTGCTCGAGCTCTGCCATCCCCCAAAACAGAACCCAAGCTCAAGTAGCAAGCAGGGTGTGAGTAAAGTGTAACTCTTGGGAGCCAAAGAGGTCTCCTGAAAAGCCACGTGGAAACGATGGCCAATGAGAAGCAGGAGGATGTGGTGGCAAGGCTTATATATCAGTGTCTGGAGCTGGGGTGGGGTTCTCAGTTTCAGTTCTTCAGTTGCTGAGACTTCACAGTTACTCAAAGCTGGGTCTGGGTGTGGTGATTGCAGTGCCACTCTTGCCTCAGAAAGGCCATTAAACCTCAGAGCTTCAAGCCTCATTGCAGCCAATTTTTCATGGAAGCAGATGTTGACAGCTGGGAGGAATCCTTCTGGGACCCTGAAGGAAGGCTGAGGAAAATGCCCTTTCAAGGTGAGGGGTCTTTGGGGAGGGGTCGATGTGTAAAGGGCCTTAGTGTGTTCAGTGCCAGGAGTAACCCCCAAATGGAGAGAGAGGGAAGGTGCCCTGGGGGGAAAAGGAGGAAGAGTGTGGAGTGCAGTGTGAAGAGCCTGGACCTTGGTAGAAATTTTTACAGCAGGGTGCCCAAGCCCACAGGTCCTGGGGGTGAGGGAACCTCATCCATCTGGAAGAGGCAGAGAGTAAAGTTGTGTGTTTTGAGGGACGGAAAAGAGTTTGGGCAGTGTGCAGCCCAGGAAAATCTAGACAGATGAGGAGAGTGTGAGAGGAGGGGCAGAGGGTCCTTGGCTGTGGTGGAGCCAGGGGAACCTGAAAAGGACGGGAGGGGAAGGCTGTCTGAAGTGAGGGGCAAAGAGACGAGGAAGAGAGGGGCCAGCGGCGCAGAAGAATCCCGCGGAGGTGAATCTGAAGGGTAGGAATAAGGAACGTTGCGGGGGTTGACACTGCTTGTCCACACGTTTCTTTCCTTCACAAAGGGGCCTCAGCGGAGTCCCCCTCTTTGGAAACGGTAGGTCTGAAAGGTCCATTCAGGAGGGCAGAGGGGTTTGTCAAGTCCACAAGTTCCCCTGCCAAGGGCTGTCCTAAGAGTTGTAGGGGAAGGGGGCGGTGGAGAAACTCAGAGCCTCATGCTCCCCCTTTCCTGACCTTACCTTGTTCCTTGATTTTTTCTGCCCCAAGAGCCTGCTCGTGGCCCCATGGGTGTCTCCTGCTTCCCCATGGGGGCCATTTAGGGCCGGCCCCTCCATCTCGTGGTCCCGGTCCTGTCAGTGTGGAAATCCCCCTTCACAGGCACCAGGGTGTGCACTCCTGGCCACACCCTCTGCTCTCCACACTGAAGCAGGAGGCTTCTAAAGCCTCTTGAGGACTAGACTCTAGACCGTAATGTTTGAAACTTCTCTAGTTTAAAAATACTGAGAAGGGTTTCGGTGCATAATCCTCCTGCCCCACAGAGAAGCCCTCCCAGCACCCGCACCCATCCCCTGCTCAGAACCCAGGCCTGGGACTCACCCCACTAATGGGAAGTGAGTCACCAAGAACAGCAAGGACACCACAGGCTTTTTGCACCGTTCTTTTATTTCCTTGGCTTCAAAGGTGCCTCTCATGCCAGGGAGGTGGAGGTGGTGTGGTAAAGGAAGCCTCGTTCAGTAGCAAAATTTTGTGCTTCCTGGCAATTGAAGGTGCCTGGCAGGAACAGGTTGGGAAAGCCATGAAAGGGAGACTGTGAGCCCCCTGAAGACCATTATTGTAACATAGCACATTTGTATGTGATGAGGAAGCAACAATCTACTGTCTAATTCCTCATGGGGAGTCATTGAATAAAAATGTTGTGCTCCTTTGTCTTGTAAGTAGTCACAAGATTGTGTAAAAACACGGGCAGAGATTAAACCACAAAAACTGGTGCCGGGTTGGACTGCCGAATCCATTTTCTAAAATAATACTTGATGTTCCGTTTTAAAGCTTTCACATCGACCAGCTTGGACACAGCTGCAGCTATCTTGTTGAGGACAAAAAGCACTAACTCAGTGATTAGACGTGGACCCAGTGGGTCCAAGACACGAACGGCTCGGTGCATTCCATTCTCCTGTAATTTATGTCTTACAATATCCCAGATCTCCTTTGCATAAGGTTGAATGAAGGCTCGCACTTCGTTCTTCATGCCTGGGTCCATTTTAAACTAACTCAGCAGGTTCCAATAAACAATGTAACACTTGCTTCCTCAGCTCTTGGTGGAAGCAATGCCCTCCCTGTAGGAGGAAGTCAGCCTTTAATAGTGGAGAGGGGAGCTGTGGATGCACTTATGCTTCACCAGAAGTGTTGAGGAAGTGTGTGTGCCACGTCCCACAGAAAGGGAGGTTTTCTAAACCTAGCTGCACTGGCACGTGGTTCTTTTCACAAAACATAGGATTCTTTTCACAAAACATAGAATTTGAGCAATGTGTGTGTTCCACGTCACCCAGGGAGAGCTGTTTTCTAAAACTGCTTCAGGAACAGAGGTTTCTAAACATTGTTTATTTGTTTTCTTTGCAGAGGTCATAGGATTTGGCTTCTAAGCTTGTACGGACATCGAAACTTCCTCACTGCAATGAAAAAAAAAAAAAAAGAAAAATGCAATCGTCAGTCTTTTCAGTTCTTTTTTGATATTTGAGTATTTGATATTTGTATTTTATCATCATATGCGTTATCCAACTTAACCATATGTAAATTTTTGTTTCTTACAATTCCTCACCACCAAACATTGACACATTTTCTCATCTTTGTCAGTCTCTCTCCACTTAACTCTTTCAGAACTTGCCATATTGGGAGCTATGCAATTCATCTGCAGTTTTCTTAATGCACATGGGCTTCCTTCCCATAGACCTTTAATTACTGAAAACATACAGTGTCTTTTCGACTGTACTTAAATTTTTTCCTCTGAGGTGCTTTCATCTCTTGGGACATGTATCTGACAAGGAAGCCCTTAAGCTTCCTTAGGTCAGCAAATACACGAATCAACGTGATAACTGTTAGAAACAGAACATTTCATGGGCGCATATTTGTGCCGTGTTTAGAAAAATAGAATTCTCACTCCAGAAACGTTGTTTATTGAGGTACTCATGTCATGTCTCTAAATGGGATGAACTGAGGTGACTTTGGTCAGTAAAGTAGCATGGCTGTCAGGTCTACCAACCCACAGTGTGTCCTCTGTGTGTTGTGTTGTGTGTCTGCCA